GTGCTAGAATCCAGACCTAGTGAGAGGCTACAACTGTTATGTTTGTTGCACTTTTCCCCACTTTCAGGAAATACCACACAGAGAAATTAAAGGGTAATATGACTAGGAAAAAGACTCCTAGATACCATGGCTTGATTGACTTGGTGTGTCAACATGAGGATGAAAAGTGAGCAGAAAGATCAACTTCTTAGATGTCTCCATCTGCCTCATCGGGCTCAGCTTCTTTACTCCTCAAGGTCTGCCCGGCAACAGCCTAAATCTTTTTGCAAAATTTTTGAGCTGAATGTGTTGAGGGCCATGAGCTGTTTTCCCCAGTCACTGCTCTGATGCTGATAAGGGCTATGGCTGGCAGAGCTCTGTGTGCATGTTGAGAAGTCACTGTGTGCAATCATTTGCATTTAGAGCTGTTTTTAGCTGTAAAAGATACTCCCTGCATTCAAACAGCTCTCTTCAGAGCAACAGGGAATTCACCCTGCTGAGGTGATGGTGCAGATGGAAATAACATTCCCACTACACATGCCTGTTGGTACTATTAACTGTTCTTTTCTTGTTTGCTCCACAGATCCTGTGTGGGAAGGAGATCCCCCGCTGGGTGAACCGCCTGGCCTACTTCAGCTCCTGTATCCCTTTCCTCCAGAGCTGCCTCCCCAAGGAGTGGCTGACCCCAGCGGCCCTGCAGAGCCATATCAGCCTTGGCTTGCACAAGGAGGAGCAGGGGGACACAACGGACGAGGAGTCTCCCTCCACCTCTGCCACTCCCTCAGCCTCAGGCACCTCACGAACCTGTAGACATACCAGGGTCTGAGCTGTGCCCACTATGGCCTCTAGTAACATTCTCCTCTCTCTTGTGCTGTTTCTTGCTCAGTCACCCTTTCGCACACCGTGGTTTCTCCCCTCTTTTCTCTTTTTTCATCTGACAACACAGGGGAGGGAAGACCCCTATTACTGAGGAGGAGAAGCTTCAGACCCTTTTCAAAGGGCTGCTACTACAGTTACTTGGCAAAATGATTGTGAACTCCAACACTGAGCTGAGGAGTGTGGCAACTATGCTGGATTCTCCTCCCAGGATCCCCATGCTCCTTGATCCATGGAGAACGCTGCTCTCTCAGACATGAGAGCTCATATAGGAGCAGGGAGCACCATACTGTGATGTCCCTCCACTAGGACATTTTTATGTTTTTATCTCTTCCCCCACCCACTTGATCCCAGCAGCCTCCTCTGTATTTTGGCTTGGGTTGCCACATGGCAAAATTCCTGCTTGCACCCAGTGAGGCAGGCAGAGCCAGAACTCAACCTTCTCATCTCTTAGACCAGCAACAAGCTCCACTCAGCCACATCCCTTTTGTAATTACCAGGTTTCTAACTCATGTGAGGGAAATGAAAGGTGCTGATGTTCTTACAACTACCAGTTTTCATTATTCAAATTTAAGAGCTCAAATGATTGCCCTGCTCTTGAAAATAATAACAAAGAGAACCCAGAAAATGAATGTGTTACCATGGCTTTTCTCTGGGGTAAAAAAAAAAAAAAAAAAAAAAGCTAGTGCTTAGAGGCAGCTACTAAGTAGGTGCAGAGATGACTGTTGTCCATGTTGGTGCTTTTTGGCACAAACCCCTCTCAGTTCCCTACTTCTAGGCAGTGTTCCTGGTTACCTTTTTTTTCCTTTCCCCAGGCTGGCAAATGTATCTCCTAGTTGACATCTGTAGGCTGTTTTTGAGGGAAATGGCCCTCGAGCAGTAAGATGAGGGGAAGAAATCTACCGGGAAGATCAGTACTTCCTTCAGCTTTTTCTTCTGCACCCATGAACATAAAACATGTCTCCTGAGCTACCCAAGAAGGTAAAAAATAAGTGATGAACCTGTTTTCTCCTCCTCCCTTTCTGGAGGTGGAAGGGGAAACCTAGGGCCACATCAAGAAAGCATGGATGACCCTTCCCATGCATGGGCCACCATGGTGCCTTCTGTTGTGTGTGCTATTTCACTGGCATGAAAAATGGGCAGAGCTGGCTTGTTGGTCTCTCCAGGCAGGTTCTTTATATGAATCTGGTCCTTGGATGTATTTCTGCTCATTCTGATGGCTGACAAGAAAGCTGAGGAGGGAGAAAAGGACAGGTATACCAACCCTTCCACTCAATTACCTCACCAAGAGTTCAGAAGATGCAGGAGAGCATCAAAGGGAAACCCAAGCCTCTCTCCCCCTTCTAGCTCCTCTTGACCACACAAAAGAGGATAAAAAAGAACAGGTCTGGTGATGACAGGAGGTTGCTACTTTAGAAACGCTGTTCTCAACAGCTACTATCAAGTCAGGACTTTCCCTTCCATCCAGAAAGAACTAAGTCCTTCAGAGATGTTGTTTCCCTTTACTGTTGCAGGAAGGCCAAGAGCATGCTAAGGCCAACCAGCTGTTTCTTTAGCTCAGGTATATAGAAGTGCATGCTCTCAGTGCTGAAGGTCTTGGCTATGATGCACATCATGTCTGCACAGACAGTGCTTCATGTTTTGTTACATGTGCATACCTCCAGTGAAAAAGGAGACTCTGGAGAGATGTACTGTATGGAAATAAAATTCACAGAATGGTACACTCCACTATTTCCTGGAGTGATGTGTGTTTGGACAATGAGCCTTTTACAATGCACCTCCCATTTTCATCTTCTGAACAAATTGCTGCAAGTTCTGTACTGAACTAAAGTAACACTCCTTATTAACCTTGGCTACTCACAGCCAATACTGCATTGTGAGCAGTTATACAGCTCCTGGTATCCAATCCAGCACCAGTCTTGATTACCTGGCTTGTTCAGGGATGTTTAATAAGATTTCCATCCTGTTTTCCATTCTGCTGCCCAGAAACATTACACAATGTACTGTTGTGTGCAGCTTTTCACCTGCAGTCATGGTCACTGTAGCCTAAACCAGCAATGCAAGTTCCATTCGTCTGAAGTTCCCAGGGTGCCTGCCAATAGCCAGCAGCACAGTATGTGCAGTGAATTTTAAAATCACTTTGTAGATCCTTCTGTGGAGGTGAGTGAGAAAAGGCTTTCCCAGAGCTTTTACATAGACCGGGGATTCCTGATGTGACAAAAGCCAGCCAACCAGTACCCTCAGGTTACTATTCTGCACCTGAGCTCCAGATAAAACATCATTATACATTGAGGAGAGAACTATGGCTCCAGTGGCACATTTCACAAATAAAACCCTCTCACAGTATTTCAGAATATAAAATATTTAACTGGCTGTATTGTAACAGACAAGAAAGCTGCACTCAGCCTTCTTGGGGATGTGGATAAGTGCTTGAAGTATTGGGAGTAACACTTGGGGTGAACTGTTGGTGTCATAAAAACTAGATGTTTATCTACTTCTATGTTTGTCAGTCTTTTATGTAGGGGTCATAACAAGGAGGCATGCAACCTCTGTTGTAAGTCAAAATGAGAATATATTCTGCTCTTCAAAAAGGTTTCTCCTCACCCCTCTCTGTTCAAGGTGATTGAACAACGACAAGAACAAAAGGACACTGTGGAAATAAAATATATATTGATAATAGCTTTATCTCTGTAATTTAACAGCATTTTAGATTATTAAAAATGAAAACATTTTTAAAGTCTAATTTACTGCTCATCTCTGGCACAGCATGTTTGATTTAGGCACTCTTCTTATCCTTCTGAACATAAAATTATTGTTATTATCATGTAATTATTCAGCATTTGCATTTAGTTTCATATTTGCTTTCTCTTACTCTTTTGGATTGTAACATCATGGGAAAATTTCAGATAGCAATAATTATCAGTAGAAACAAAAGAACAGCTTATAACTCTTGAGCAGAGCACTCAATGGCACAAACACAACCCTTTAACTCAAGACTTGTTGAGCCCTTTTAGAAGTTGGAACATGAAGGTGCTGACTCTGCACGTGGGCATCAGCAGCTGTGGATTATTTCTCTAACAGAGAGCTAATAGCATCAGGTGAGAGAGTAATAACAAAAGTGAGATTAGCATAATGCTGGAGTTAGGAGTCAAACTGTTTCTAAGGAAAGTTAAAGTGAGAGGAATGAGGTAAGCAATAACCTCTCTTCTCAGCACTTCTGTATCTCTAATGGCAGCTGTCGTGGTTTTGGGAGGTTCATCCCACCCTCAGTACAGCACAGAGATGGGCACAGGACTGTTCTCTTGTTCTCTTCGCTCCCACATGAAAGTTGGCTTCCTGGAATCGAGGTGTTTGAGTGAATGGTAGAACTCATTAAATTGCTACCTGGAAAAAATAACTAATGGTTCTAAATCTTGGAGGAGTTTATCTGCGCAGTCAGCTTTGTTTTGAAAGGACATACAAGCTTCTGGGGTGCAATGTGGTTAGGATAAGGGATAAGAATGTGGGAAAACTGACAGCGTTCTGGTGGCAGTCACTTCCTTAGGAAACAAAATGGAAGATGTAGCTAATGACCAGACTCTGGGGACTGCCTTAATCAATGAGCTTTGACAGAAAGATCAAAATCATGAAAGAAACCCTCTGGAAGGATGTCTGTTCATCTACAGAAGCTACTGGGGGCTACAAGTGTACCTTGCCAGCACTGAGCTGACTGTCTTTTGTTGTAAGTGAAGATGCAGCTGGTAACGCAGCAGTTATCCACCAAGTGAATATTAACAAAGCCTATGCATTGCCCTAGGGAGGGCAGATGCTGTGTGTTTCTTTGCAGCAGTGATCTCAGTGCTTATTGTCCCTGAATGGCACTGATTCCTGCTGCTCTGGTCCTGCCCTGCTGGGGTTTCCCAGTCATAGAAGCTCCTGGTCCCTCAGTGCCTCTTGCTTTCTCTGATCTCAGTTTAGCCACAGTCTTGTCACAGAATTACAGAATGGCCTGGGTTGAAAAGGACCAGTGATCACCCAGTTTCAACCCCCTGCTATGTGCAGGGTCACCAGCCACCAGACCAGGCTGCCCAGAGCCACATCCAGCCTGGCCTTGAATGCCTCCAGAGATGGGGCATCCACAACCGCCTTGGGCAACCTGTTCCAGTGCATAATAATTTTTTGTTTTCTCATTGCTGTGGCTTCAAAGCTCTCTCTCGTGAAGGTAAGGTCCCTCCTCCTTCCCCTGTATGCATTCAGAGGGCACTAACTGTATCTCAGCACGGTAACTCGGGGCCAGGTGCGGGTCGCTGCAGTTCTGCGGAGGGCGCTTTGATCTCACCATGACAGCCACGCCGCAGCGACTCTGCTTTGCTGGAATACGGAGCGAACCGCCACTCACGAGGTGACACCTTAACGTAACGATGCAGTACGTTTATACGTCCCCGAGCAGGCCTCAGCGGCGTGCCGGTCCCGCGGAGCACAGCGGAACGCCGTGCGTGGGCTGCGGCGGCGGAGGGAGCGGTGTGGCGGGCGGCCCGGCGCCGGAAGCGGCAGCAGCGGGCGGGAGAGCCTCATGGAGCGGCTCCGCAAACTGTGGCGGGGCCGCACGATGACCTTCGGCGTGCCGCTGCTGGTGAGCGGGGCGGTCAGGGAGGGGGTTAAGGCACGGGGGGTGCGGCGGGGCGGGGCAAGGTGCTGTGCGGTTACGTTTTGGACACCGTGTCCGTAGCTGTCCGGTAACGAACGCGTCCGATTTGCTGGGGAAGGCGCAGCTGGGGGCGACGCGACGCCTGCGATGAGGCGTTGCGGGAAGCGCAGCGCGGGTGTGCTGCTTCTCTTATTGGGTCGGAAAAAATGCCATAAAACGTGCGAGCGACCAGTCTTCCAAAAGGACAAAGTGCCCTGGCGGGTCCTGCAGGGTGCGCGTGGGTCATAATGCTGTGGGAAAAGGGAAACGTCGCTCTGAGAGACAGAAAGATGCAGGGTGAAGAGATGGACTCCTCCGGTCCGCCCCGAGCCCTCAGCGGGACGAGTTTAGCAGCTCCTGTAAACTCGGGAAGGACCAGAACATAAAAGATGCATCAGGCGTTGTGCTGCTGGGGTTACTGCAGGGATCCAGTCTTGTTCTGGGAAGTTCTGCACGGCTGTTGATACGCTGTGGGTGGCGATGCTTTTCGTGGCTTGTGAAGGAAGCGCTGAAGTCCACACACGTCGGGTCGGCTGCTGAGGCAGAAGGGGCTCTTTCTTAGGGTGGAAAGTTCGTGGTATTCTTTAGGAAGGGATTGAATGAGCAGCTGCCAGCAGGGCTGCGGGTCCCAGGCCATGGCAGCCCTTCAGCCTTTCTGATGCTTTTGCATGATTTCCCATCAGTCTATAGCAGAAGTTTTGGGAGACTTTTTTTTTTTTTTTTTTTTTAATTAATTAATTTATTTTTGACTTTGCACTCCAGGATTTCATTCCCCTTTCTTTACTTCAGAGATCCTCCCTTCGGAGTCAGCGTTAAGCAGAGGAATATTCTGCTTTCTTTCCTTCTGGGGTTTCACGTCTCCCTGCCTTAAAATTATTCTCCCCTGTGAATATGTCAGTGTGCTGCTGCCCAAAGGTTACCTAACGAGGAAGGAAAAGAACAATTCATGTGGCTCATGGCAGTTCCCCAGTGAACATTGAACTCTGAAAGCACCTCAGGAGCTGAACACAATTTTGCTAAAAGATCAGCTGCAGCACCAGAGGCACTGAATGTGTGTCCAGAACTGCAGAAGCGTGCCTCTGTGACCTCCAAGTTCTGCTGAATTCGGTGATAATACTGATATACAAGGTCCTGTTAGAAGCTTGCGTGCTGTACATTTTTTCACTAGACAGAAGTTTATTCTTCAATACTGCCGGACCTCATCAATGCTATATTTTTTTAATTGCAATTATTATTATTGAAATGAATCTTATGTCTTGCCTCCTTGCACCACAAATTTGAATGAAAAGCCCCTGTAGCACTCTTTAAAAATACTCCAAGGTTAAAGAGATGGTAACTTGGAGATAGGTTAGCCTCTCGCTACGAGCATACATGCACAAATGTATATTAAACATATTTCTTCTGTTTTAGTGTAAATTATCATCTTGATTCTTTTATTTCCCCTGTGTTCATTGGGGAGTTGTTAGGATATTTTCATCTGAAAGGGATTTTCTTGGTTGATCCTTAAAACCTCAGCTTTGCCAGGAAGATGTGTCAGTTGCAGTGTTTGGTCGCGCTTCTTCCAGCTCATGTGCTGCTGGCCGGGCAGCCTAAGGGCTGAAGTGGAGGTGGTGACAGCTGTGTGGGTGCCAGGCTGACTGCATGGATGTAGCTCTGAAGTTCACTGTTAGGATGGAGGGCTGTGCTGTGATGACTTAAGTGGCACTGGCATCTCTTTCCTATCATAATGTAAAATCTCTCCTTACCGCATGAAGCTTACCGTACGTGAGCATTTTCAGGTACTTGGTTCTATTCCAGAAGAGCTTCATCACTACTTTAAAAAACACGGTAAAAATTAAATTGCATGCTCACAACACTTTCCAAATCTTGTGTTTGTGATTCTGCCTTTGACTGATTCCAGTGAGGGTGTTTCATACACTGTAAGTTGCAGAAGCCACATGCAGCTGTGGTTCCATTTCTCCTGTCAGCTTATCACAGGGGAAATATGAATTTCTCAGTGTCTTCACAGGCAGGACGCACGGTCTGTGCTCATTTGGGGATTTCTGTTTTACACTTGTTTAAGCATATTGCTCTATACATGTGGTATTTCAGATTTCAAGCTTGTAGCACATTACAAAGTCCTTCATATCTCTAGATGCGGATTTCTACATCGTTCCTGTTCTTTTGCTTTCTTCTTTTTTCCCTCATCATGTAAGAACTGTGTGTTCACCAGTGCTTTCCTTGTAGGTATCTTCCTTTCTCTGGATCTTCGGTGTTTCAAGTACTGTGTGCAGTGTTCCAAAAGAGAAGATGAGGGCAGCTTGGAACTGTGAAAGATCTTCTTTTCTGTGAATAAATGTTTTCCTAAAATGAATTGCCAACAGTGTTCATGCACACAGACTGTCCTACATTGCCATCTACATTGCTGCCTTGAGCAGTGCAGGTTTTCTTTGACAGACACTTCGTCCCAGGCATCAGAGGAGAAAGGCAGTGTTGGGTAATGCTGTGTCCATGTGTTCATCTCCCAGGAGACCCACGGAAAAGCCCAGCAGTGTCTCAGGCCATGCAATGAACCGCTGGTCTCCCAGCCTTATCGACCTGCTCCAAAAACCCACATCCCCACCCATCAGGATGCGAATTTCTGTCTGTGGATGAGTTTCTTTCACTGGTGAAGTCCAGCTCAACTGGAAGCTGTGGCTCTTGCTCTCTCTGTAAAAACTGTTACTAAATTATCTTCTGATAGCATATGAAAAAGGATTGCTGCAATCAACATTTTTTTTTTTACTTCTAGATATGTCAGTGCTATTGTTAACATTATTCGCATCACTCAAGGTGGAGGTGGGGGAATGCAGGGTTGGGGAATTGACAGGATTTTCATTAACATCCATTACTTTGTGGAGCTTTACAATGAGATGTGACATATACGGAACTGTCAGCTCATCCATTTCTCAGCTCACCTTTTGAATCAGTGCCTTCAACTTTTCTTTTCGATTCTTAATATTTGAGGAGTATCTTTCAGATAAGTATTAGACAAACAGGTAGATGCTTCTTTCAACTTTTTGAACCCAGAGTGGCTGGACTGGTAATTTCAAGGAGGAGTCCAAATCTTTTAGGAGCTTCTGGAGAAGGAGGAGGTGGTATGCAGCAGCTGCAGCTTGGCCACCATGGCAAACCAGGTTTTCAGACAGCTGCAGCTGCTGGGTGAAGTTCCCGGGTCATCTGAGCAGCCCGAGCCATCAGTGTGTGTAATGCAAAGTGACAGGGCTGTGGCTGAAAATGCCCTTTTTTGCTAATTGCTCACACTGAGGAACATATGGCTTGCTGTCTCTTCTGCATTGTTCTTAGGTTGGTTTCTACTTAATGCGTTTGCCATGCTTTCCAACCTGTTATGAAATGGACATTTTAATAAACAAATGTTTTGGTTTTTTTTCTTCCTAAGACACAGAATAGTAGCATTGCAAGTGACAGGCTGAGAGAGTTGGGGCTGTGCAGCTTGGAAAAGAGAATGCTCCGGGGAGACCTGAGAGCAGCCTTTCAGTATCCAGAGGGGGGCTGTAAGAAATAAGGGGTCAGACTCTTTAGCAGGGACTACTGTGATAGGACAAGGGGAGACAGCTTCAAACTAAAAGAGGGAGATTTAGACTGGATATAAGGAAGAAGTTTTTTACAATAAAGGTTGTGAAGCACTGGCACAGGTTGCCCAGACAAGCGATGGGTGCCCCATCCCTGGAGACTCAAGGTCAGGCTGGATGGGCTCTGAGCACTCTGATCTCACTGTGGGTGTCCCTGTTCATTGCAGGGGAGTTGGACTAGATGGCCTTTAAGGGGCCCTTCCAAATCATACAACTCTGTAAGTCTAAGTGTGTGGGCTGTTTTTGCTGTATTGTGGCTGTGGCCACCCGTCTTTGCGACTGTCAGACTGACCTGCTTTGAACTCTACCTTGAGCTGGTTAAGGCAGTACTTGTCCAAGCATAGTACTTTGCCTGGAGTTCCACCTTGTGTAGCACTGCACAGGTCTGCATTACCAGCTGGTTGCAACTGCCTCTGATTTGTGCCAGGTGCTGCCCAGGTGTGGATACAGCCATCTATTGGCGTGTTTAATCTGTTTCTGGGTGTAGTGCAGTTTATGAGCTCTAATGTGCACAGTAAGTCAGAGCACTGCCTTACTTGATTGTGCTCTTGAATCAAATTAAGGGATTTGTATTTTTGTTTTTCCCCTGATCTGAGCTGACAGTGATTCCATTGGTTGCGGACAAGAAGACACTGGGAGTGGGGTGAGGTCTCAGTCAGTTTCTGAGAGGATTCTGCTCTGGTTCTCTCAGCAGCCTGCACAGCACTGGCAAACAACTCCTTTGAGTTGGAACTGGCAGAGGAGGGCGCTTCAGGCTCGGCTGATTTTCCTGGCAGTGCAAAGTGCTGCTTTATTTAGGGAACAAATGGGAGACTTCAGTCCCCTGGGCTGCCAAATTGCTGTCTTTCACCAGCCCTGCACTGCATACATGACAGTTCTTTAGAAGGGAAACCCCAAAACCCTTTTGACTGTGATCACTGCAAACTAAAATAAAATAATTCACGGCTGCTCTAATTTTAAAGCTCACAATGAATAGTTGGAGGGTTTTGCAGCAGCAGTTCTGAAGAAGAGGCTGAAAATTATCACGTTCCTTCACCAGTGATATTTATCATAACGTTTTCCTGCTTTCTTTACACCATAATCTGTGTTGCCAGCACTAATTAGTGTGATTTGATTCATGTAGGGCTCTGCAGCCTTTGTGATCTGCCTTTCACAGTCACTACTGTAACAGGGATGAGTCTCTCTAGCAACAGGGATGCTTATAACACCGCCAATCGCTGCTGCTGGAGAAATTGTTTCCTGTTATTGTTTTAGCCCAAGAGACTGAAAATGGCTCCAAAAAAGTAGGGATCTGCTCTTAACTATATTCTTGTGCTGTTATGAGTCCTTGGTGAACATCATCTCACCGTGGTTGGTGACAAACACAAGCGTTATCCATCCTAAGACACAGTTCAAGTGATCAGCCTGATGCCATCCATAACTAATTGCATAACATACTTCCCAACGGAGAAGTGAACAAATAGATTTTTAAAAAGAATTAAAGAGAGTTTTATGTCATTTTTTTACATAAGACATTTATTGAGGCTGCTGAGTGTATGTGACAGATGGTGCTCTTATGTCACATCCTATCTTTCATTTTGTTTTGCAACACGCAAGTCTTCCATGCATGCATAATTGCATTACAACGTTGTAGGGTTGGTTTTTTATTTTTTTTTTGTGTACTCACTGAAACATAAAGGAATGATCCAGCATGAGTACTTTGACGGGAGGCTGAGCTCACTGTGCTGCTGAGCTGCTTACCCTAACGGGTGCTGAGTGCTGCTTCACCAACGTGTTTCCTGGTTTTACATCCTAAGCTAAACTTCAGGTGGAAAGGAGAAAGCACACATTTCGTCACTCTGCTGAATGCATTCAAGTAATTAAACAGGTTGTGTTCACTACATAATAAAGTTTGTGCTCTGTATCTGAAGCATGTAAAACTAATGGTTGTCACATCTTCAGTTGCTCATGCATTTACATTTTATGATTTAAGCATCTGTATGATTATAAAATCAGAATGAAGAAAAATGTACGTAATTTTCTTTTTGTTTGGAGTTACCTTCCCGGTCTTCACTTTAACTGGAGTGTCAAGTTGCATCTGACCTCATGAAAATGTTGCCAACCTAATTGTTCTATTTATATGGTATCCTGAATAGCTTCTGCTAGGATTTCCCCTGCGTCTCTTTTGTCTGGGCCTGTCTGGCATTTGTTGGAACATACTGGACTTAGCTTTGCCCTTGACTTACACTGAGCAAATTAATTCATTGTAATGCTTTTTTATCTTGCAAGGAACGTAGAGATTATCTCCATTTTATAAATTGGAAAACTAGAAACGTGAGTGAGAATTATGGAGTATGCAAAGCCAACAAGCTAAGAACATTGCTGAAATTTGTAATGTCTTATCCCACTTCTGATTATTTTGCCTACTAAATCTAGATCTATCATTGTTTGTATGTCTGTATTCTTCCCTTTAAATACAATTATCTGAACATAGTGAGGACATCTTCCCTCAGAGTACAAAGGAGAACAGCAGTATTTAAGCCAAGGCCAATACTTCAACTCAACACATTGTCTGTCTCCAGGTACTTTGTTACCTGTAATGCTATTACAGTTGCACAAACTCATTGATGCTTTCTTGTACTGCCATTGCTTCTTTTATTAACTTTTGAATGCAGTTAAAAATAGATATAATTAACTTAAGAGCTGTCTGTAGCTGCTGTGGTATAGAATCATAGGATCACCAAGGTTGGAGAAGATCTGATATTTCATCAAAAGAGAAACTGACCATCACAGTACTGGAAGCGTAAGGCATTCGTATTGATAATGGCTCTAAGTGACGCATCCAGCTTACCATGCTGGCTGTTCTGCTTATGCTGTATGAAGAGCAAAAGGAAACCGGAATCCAAGTGTGGTTTTTGCCCCGGGAGCAGCATAAAGATGCTGTGAGTAAGGTTACAGTTTCAGGCCAAAACTTGTCGTAAGGAAGAGAAGCATTTGTGTATCAACTTCTTTATCATGTGTATAGCTGCAAACATGAAATTAATGTATAATAGATGGCTGCTGTCAAACAAGTGAAACAGCATGCTGAGGCCAAATGAGAGCAGCACATGATTTATTTCATGCAGCAGCTGTCTGCCTCACTTCCACTAGCTACTTTACAGAGTTTTAGATGATCCAAGCTAAAAAAATCCCCAAACATTTGCCTTATAGTTGAACGTGCCTTTGTTCATACTACATCTCATAACAATATACTTCATGCAATTTTGTTGTCAGACAGGCTAATTTTGAAGTGATTCTGAAAGAATTTCTGCTTTTTCCCTTGTTAAACCTGCTATACACCAGAGCATCTGCTATGGCTCTATCACAGCTATGGCTGACATCACAGCCATAAAGCGCTGTTTGTAACTATAAACTTGGCTATAGTACTGCTGATTTCTTTCTTTAGGACATGACATTTGTTAAATTAACTCATAAGATGTTAATTAACATAATGCTCATTAGAACTTAAAGAATATCAGCTAATGAATTTTTTTGCTGTCAACCATATTAAGATTCATTTACTGTCTGTTCCTTGAGACTTTCAGCATATGGTGTGAAGATAGCATATCATCAGCTGACATACCGGATATGGCTGAATAAATCTCAAATAATTTTCAGGTTCTTTTTAACCATTTTGAATGCTTTTATTTTCTGTTTCCTGTTATTTGTTCTTACCAGAATATTTATACATAAAGAAAGCATTATTTTTTTCTTGATATTAATACTTCCTTTTCTATTGTACGTATAGATGAATCAGTATCTATCTACAAGAACAGCATTAATGCCTTGAGCTACAAGTATGGAGCAGTCCCATTTGTGGTAGGCCTCTCAAAGTTGTGTGCTACCCCATAAGGATTTTCTTACCAACTTTTAAGCTCTGTAATATAAACATCCAGCTGCCAGACCACAGAACTTTGCTCTCTGTGTTTCTACATCAGTATGTGGAGTGTTCTTCACAACATCTAAATGTTTAGTTGTTGTACCGAGGGACATGGTTCAACAGGAAATATTGGTGATGGTTGGGCTGGATGATCTTGGAGATCTTTTCCAACCTTGGTGATTCTATGATTCTTTTTTTTTTTTTGTGAGGGTCCTAACACACGCTTTCATTGTGTTGTTTTTCAGCTCTACATTGTTGGGGGATCTTTTGGACTCCGTGAGTTTGCTCAGATAAGATATGATGTCCACAAACTACATGGCAAGGTACTTCAAGTTTTTTTCTCTTCATTTCATTTTGCAAATATGCTGACTCATAAAAGATAGTTTGCTAGGACAAGCAAAATATTAGTATTAGGAGATATTATTATATGCTCTTAGACAGCGAGCAGTGTAGATAATAGAGGCTGAGATAATAGCAAATCTTTTTGCCAACTGTGGAAAGTGATCAACGAATAGTTTGGCTCCTACTGTTGTTTGTAAGTGGCAATTCTGAGTCTGGAGAAAGGAAGTGTAGCACATCAGGAAGGAGGTTATGAGAAAGATTTTGTATCTAATTTAGACTAAACAACTTTATATTTTAAAAGGTGCACAAAAGAAAGTTGCTGCCCACTGGCTGAGACCGCACATGGCTCTGTTCAGCCTGGCCTCGTGTGCCTCCAGGGCTGGGGCACTTTGTTATATGCAAGCCTGCCATTGTGATGCCGAGGGTTGTTCTGGTCCCATTGCTGCTGACTTGCAGAAGATGTGAAGCTTTTTAAAGATTGTATAGTGCTTCATATAAAAGTGTTTATGTGAGACTCCAGACGCTGTGCATAAGAGGTTCATTACAGAATTTGAAACATAAGTGGGAGTGTGCTTACGGTGGCTTTCTACTGACAAATCTTTCAGATCCTCACCTGATCAGGGTGAGACCCTTGTGTTTTGCCTTAGGTAATTGTTGTGGGCCATCTGAATTACTTCAGTTGTTCTTCATTGCTCTCTGCATTGCATACCTGGGTATGGCATGTGAAGCACCATGCAGGCCACTACTGCTGAGTCTCTTACTTGACATAGCCCATAAGACAAGGGAGAAGAATCTTAGTTCTCTGTCTGGTTACTTTTTCCAGTCCTAGGCTTTCAGAACCAGCTGTAGCATTTAAGTTTTCCTCCAATCAGGTGGTGATTTCAAGAAGGGGAGAAGTTGTCTGTTGTTCCTGTCAGTTTCTTAGTCAGATCTGTACTCAATAGGTTACATTTGACCTCCATTAACTGAACAGTGACCGCAGCCCAGAGTAAAAAGGCAGTCATAGTTATGCTTATTCAGATCTATGAGGCTCTGTGTCTCAGCATTTATAACCAAGGGAAGCATCATTGAATTAGACAGCAGTACATGAAAGCTCTGAGGGGAAGCTACTGCACCCTGGAGTTCTCTGAAAAGCGAAAAGAGGACATCTGGATTCTGCTCCAGCCTGTATTACTTAAGACTGCAGCATCTCTTTTGTGTTTTCTTTTCATGATGATTTTATTTTTGAATAGATGAAATTTAAATAAAGAACAGTGTAGTATTAGCTGCAATCTAGTAACACCAACTTTAGGCTAGTAGTTACAGTGAGACAAATGAAAGTAATGTGGTCCATTAGTTTCTGTTTCTACGTCCATGAAAATAGTTAAGAGCCATTCTAATTCAGTAACTATGAGAGCATAAGTGATTTGAATGTAGTCTTCTCTCTCTTTATTGGTTAAAATAATTTACCTGTAACTCAGGTAAAGAACAGTAATCTCTGTAATTTAAAAATGCTATTAGGCTTTCACATCATTTAAATTAATGAAGCTTCATAGCCTTGCTGTCAAACATGGCAGGTTTATTATCTCCATGCTACTGCTGAAAAAATGGAAGTTGTGGAAAGTTAAGCAACCCATCCGGATATAGGATGGGGTTTGTAATGCCTGAGTGCCTGTCTTTTCTGGTTGTATATCAAGGATGTGCAAATTATGGTTCTACTGCTTATTGTGAGCATGGCTGCTGAACTTGTGAGTGTGCTAATTCTGCTGCTAGATAGACAGGACTTAGATGGCTCAGCTGATGTGTGGTGTTATGATTGGAACAGAAACAGAGCTGCAGAAGAAGAGGGGCTAGCAGCAAGAACAGATATTGTGTCCTTTTAGAATAGCATCTTTGGATATCAGGGCATTGTTCACGTCTATCTCTTTCAAAAGAAGTAAACCTCATTGAGTACACCTTGATTTTACTTGGAATACCAAGACCAACTGTATTCTGCAAGCATGCTGAGCAGTCTGCATTTAAATAAACTTGTGCCGAGATGCTTATTGATGTAAATGCCTTTTATGCTAGACAGAATCAAGGATTTCTCCATCGTCTGTTGTTGCCAAGATAGCCATTAATGCAGATTAGGTAATTGTTTCTTTTCTGGGAAGAGTTTATGCAAATTGCAGTTGGATATGAAAAACCAGATATGCTTATGGGAAAACCACCTTGAATTAGTGGAGAAGCAATGGGTGGGTTTGTGTAGGCATGTTTCCAAGCACCTTTATTCTCAAATGGAAAATTAAGCCCTGTCTTTGTCTTACTTTAATGTTGCACACATAGTTGAACAGAGACACTTTTAAAACAGAAAATGTGACTTCTATTTAAAATATAGAAAATGTTTCAAGTACATGACATTTTTAAATTTATATTTATGTACTGTGTGCCCACTTTTGTCATTCAAGGCATGGTTAGAGACATGCTAATTCAGATCTTATTTTGGATATAAGAGCCTTGGGCAGAAGTAACAGACAAGTGATCTGTACTGTTGGCTGATAGTTAATGGGAAGGGCTGAAGAGCAGCAGCAATGTCTCAACTACCTGGGGAAGTCCAGGCTGAAAGCAAACCCTCAGAAAACCCTTCTGACTAATAAAACAGAGTTTTTAAGCTCTGATACAGCTTTACTGAGAAGGTATTACAGGCAGGTTTTCAGTGTGAGGAGATAGCACCAAGCAAGTTCCTTCAGGGTACAAGCATGAGCACTTGCAGGTAACCTGGAATCTTTGGGTCATGAAGTGAAACTTCAATTGATTATAAAGTCTGCAAATAGTTCCTAACATGCATTGTGCAAGAGCGCATCGTTTTACTGACCTTTTAGTGGTTATGAGATATAAGATTGTTATAAGATTATAAGATGTAAGATCCTGGTTCACTCCTCTTTTTCTTTTGTCGTAAGCAAAGTGAGCGCACCCCAAAAGTAGAATTCTAAGAGATCACCTTAGTAATGTTTTACTGAGATATAAATGACTGCAGAAGGCAGTGACCGAATGTTAGCGAGTCTCACTTTCTCTGTGAAAGGAAGGTAATTAACGCTGCTCTACTTTACATAGGCAATAGGCAAGTTAATTAAGTCAAATAGATTTATTTAAATTCAAATGAGTATTTAAAAAAACATTTCCTCAGTTGAGATCCATTAATTCAAGTGTTTAGGGTCAGGGTGAAATAGTGCAGGCAGAAACAGGAGCAGAGAAACATCCTGTTTCCATTAAGGCCTTGTATCATGTGGGTATGCAATTGGCAATTGCCTCAGGAAGGCCCAGGAAATCAGCCTAGCATTTACTAATTGCTGGGAGTGGATAGTCAACAAGGGGTATCTGCCTATTAGAATGCATTTGTGGTTGCAGTCTAAAACTCTGCTTCTGATGAGCTGTGAATATTGTTGGAAAGCATTGATCATGACAACTGCAGCAGCTTGATATTCATATGAGGCTGCAATACCTGCTCAAAAAGGGTAGTAAATCTCTGAGTGACTGGACAAGGCTGTGTTGCTGGCTGGCACATCCATGTTGCTGTCATTACACAAACCAGCTCAGGTGTGTATACAGGAATGGCAGGCAGAGCCATGCCCCAAATCACTGCTACTAAAACTGCCTGTTGGCTATTGCTTCTGTTTGATGGAGCCATGCTTGAAATCATACTACAGCTTAGCATTCCCGAAGTACAGAAGTCTGGCTAAAACTTGACTGACTTCACCATTGTAAAGGAGTAATCTGACCAGGTGAGGTCATTGCAATTGGACTGAATGGGAAAAGCACAAGGTTTGTTCTAACAATAACTGATGGGCATGACTCTATGGCTGCCAGCCCCGGTCATTCCATACACTCAGTTGCCTTCTATTTTCTGCAGACTTTCTGCTTGATTTTGTTCCAAATGCGTATAGACTTATCCTCTGGACTTCTAGGTGTGCCAGCACCTCCTTCCAATGTTAAGGTCAAATTAAATTAACACTGTTAGTACTTAAAATAGTCTAAATTGGATTATTTGTATAATTAGAGTTATGTAAGTGAAATTAAAACATTCAGTATCTGCTCAGCTAAATCTAAATGTACGCTTGTAATGCTGTGCATTGTCTGGGATTCACCTTGCTCATGTTTCCACTGTCTTAAATGCAGAGCCTAGTTTCGGAGCTATCCAGGCAGCCCAATGTAGGTGGTTTGAGCCAGGAATGCCTCTATAGTATGCTTCTTTCCTTATTCAAATAGATGCTTCAGAATGATGTTCTTCTTTGACTGCAGGAAAAAGCAGAGAGATTAAGCTCAAAACTTTATTGTTACCACATTCCAGTGAGATGCACCATCCTTAGCCTGGCAGTATATTCAGTTTGACAGGTAAATAGTAGGTGAGATAAACATTTGTGTAATTTCAGGTGTGGAAGGCTCAGGTCCTATTTTAAACACATATCTTACTGCCTCTAGTTATACCCATCTCTATTCAGTAGCAGAAGCCTAAACAGTGTTCATGCTTCAAATCAGAAGCCTGCCCTTAAAGTTCTTTCCCTGGAGCCTCGTGCCTTCCTGCAGAAGGAATGCTTATTTGATCCACTGGTGGTCTTTGAAGTATAATGGGATTATGGAGCGTTGCCTTTTCTGCTCCCATGATGTCATAGAGGATAGCATTAAAAAGAACCTGTTGGATGCAAGTGTGAACAAAACCGAATCAAAACCTTTTTAATTAATGTTTTATGGATTGTTCTGGATGGGGAAGGTGTCTTTTCTAAATTTGTCAGCAAGGAAACATGGAATCATTTTAGGACCTGTCACTGGACTTGGTGGAGTAACTAAGTCTTCTCAGCAAGCTTTTGGCTAACGTTTACTTACTTAGAAGTGCACCTTTATGCATTTGATTGGTTTTGGTAAGCTGATGACACAAGCACAGTGCGGCCAGTGATTGAGGCTGATGATTTTGTATTTGTTTTCACTTAAGCAGGTCAGGTTGGACTGAGTGAGACACCTAACGAGG